GCAAATAAAAATCTGTATAAAACAATGAATTTCTAAATTAATAAAATAATTTTGCACAATTTATTTTGGGCGTACAAAATATTTGTTTTTTATTAAAATATATTAGCAAATTGTTGTGTTAATGCTCACTACTATTTCTGCCGTTAGGTTTTTGACTTTTGAAGTATGGAAACAGCGCTAAGCGTTTATTAAATTAAAATCTTGCTAAATAAATTTTCAACTGACGTCACATACGGGAGCTTGCATGAATTGATAGCAAAAAGTTCCGTTATATTCGACAATAATACCAATTATATAAGCATATCGTACATAAACGATGGAAATTAAAGCCCAAATATTTTAGAAATTACTTAGGAAACAACAAATGTCAAACGTCAAATGGACCGTTTTGTCCTTCTCTAGTTAATCGATGTAAAACACACATTTTGAATTCCAGAAAACGAAGACCATTTCCGACTGATACTTATTATTTCTTTTTTTTAAAACCACTGAATTATCAATTAATTCACTCATTTAAAGCTCTTCGTAAGCGAGCTAAATAACTGTTGTTTTTTCAAACGTGTGGTTTTTAATTAAGCAATACTATTTTTGTAGTTGGTTCTTTGACTGCTTACCAAACTTACCGCCGATCAACGATTTAAAATCGTCCAAATTTATTACCAAATTAATGTTCGGTTCGCTTTGAGCGCTGCGTCCAATATTCGGTCGACATTATCGCCCAGCAGAGTCGGTAATAAAAGCAAATGGATCGGTTTCGCACCACGTTAGCTCTCGTGGATAATGTGCATCCTCAATGATGCCGCACAGTGCACACTGAAAACTCTGTTGCTGTTGTGGAGAAGAGTATCGAAGAAGGCCCGTATGAGTCCATCCGCCATGGCGAACAACAATTGGAGCTGAACCCATTCAGTTAATGGAACATTTTGCTGTCCAAGAATTGAAGCCGAACGATCATCAAGTGCGTCACACGTTCGAGGAATGGGCCCAAAACGAGATAGCCATCGATCCGAGTTTCACAAGAAAGTTAGAAGCTCACTTATTGTTGAATGGATACGTTAATAAACAAAATTGTCGCATTTCTAGTGATGATAATCCACAAGCCATTGTTGAGACGCCGTTAATTCCTCAAAAAGTCTATGTTTGGTTTGTTCAATGGGTATCCTCTGTATCATTGGTCCATACTTCTTCAAAAATGAAACCAGTGTTACAGTCAAGAGGGAACGCTAAAGAACCATGATTAATGACTTTTTCCTACCTGAATTGGAGGACGTTGACTAAGACGACCTTTGGTGCTAACAGGACGAAGCTACATGCTATACAGCCAACAAAAGAATAACTTTATTGGAGGAAACTTTTGGTGAGCGCATTATCACGCTTTGTATGCCGATGGCCTGACCTCCAAGAGTGTGCGATTTAAAAACGCTGGTGAAAATCATCGTTTTCTCATAAAAAAGCAACGTAGGAAAACGTTGAAACTAGTTAAACAAATACGTCACCATTAAAAGAGAAGGCTCAGAATATGCTATATCCTAGGGCTGTTTGAGATCTGCGCGCGATTTCCCTTTTAAAAACAAGAACCAAATCACCGACTGATGTTGATCCATTTCTCCCAAATCATCGAGGACACCCTCTTCTATTTTCAACTTATTTACCCACTTTATGAATTGAAAATAAATTTAAAATAGACTTTTCGTAAGTGAGTTAAATATTTTAAAAACTTTATTTAATGTGTTCTTTACTGCAATTATCTTGTCTTCAGATTACAAAAAAAAAAGAGAATAATCTTAACACTTCTTTTTTGCCTAATATGTCTAAAAGAGTTTTGCTAGCTTCACGAGGGACTGTCCTGAACAGACAACATTTTTTGGGCAAGAGCCTAACATAACCTAACGTTAATCCTACAATCAAATATTATATTATTTACTACCACGGTGGAATACCCAAACCCGTTATTTATTTTTCAAGGTGTAAGCAGCATTAATTAGAATTATTTGTAGAAAACATCATAAATGAGATGTCTCTTCTACGGCCTTTGGCTACCTGAGCAGCGTCATTCATAGAAAAGTCAAGTGTTAATTGAAAGCAAATACTATATGCGTATGCGTAACTACGTAGTAATGTTCACGACATAATGGTAACTACTCAGGGTGATTAATACAAACGGGATGAGAAAACGGAACTTAGTCATGAATCGGAAGTGATTACAGAATGAATCAGAAATTTAGAAGGGTAGTTTTGATAGCCCTATCATAAATGATCACAAGCGTCACTGTGTTTTCTAGAGAATCGTTTACACTGCATCACCCGAGCGAATAAAAGACAAATCATCATTTTATCTAATAGTAGGATTCGTATATAGTTGAGCCAGTAGGTGCTACTTTTCACTTCAGTTTGGAATTTTTCACAGCCAAAGGTGTTAATTGAGCTTCGAATCTAAATCAATAATTTTGTGGACACATTCAGGTGTGCGTTTCTGGCGCCTCTTCGTGATTATTAAATCGGACAAGTTACGAAAGATTGTACTCTGGATGTTTTCTTGGTTGTTTTTGTTATTTCTTGTTGTTCCATATATAATTACTGAATTTTTCCTTTTATTATTATACTTAATATACGCATTGTTTTTAAAAGTTTGTTGTTAATTAAAATTAAATAATAATACTAATTAGCCATACGAAATTATAAATCACGCAGAAGTAAATAAAGAGACACATTACAAAATTTCCGCTTAACCAGCCTTCTCACAAAAGCTCCAAGCATTGATTAATTTAGTGATTATTACAATCTATAAAGCACTTAGCAGCGAAATGAATTTGAGTTCAAGAGCTGGCCGACTCAGTTCCCTGAACCTTATCCCGTTGAAAATGCTTAAATCCAAAAAATTTTGGCGTGTTGTGAAGAAGCCGGGGAAAGCCAATTCTTTCGAGAACTGCAGACGTTTTGTGAATTATATGCTCTGAAGAGACGCTTCTGAACTATCGGGCAACTACGATGATATTGCTGTTTTTTGATTATTGAAAACTTAAAAAGGAAAATATTAAACTAATTACTTAAGTTTTAGTTTTGACCAAAAATTTCTATAAAGCTATAAGCAACACATAAGGAGCAGGTTTCCAATGAATATATATCCTTTTACTTTTAAATACAAATTTTATATCACGATTATCCAAGTCCAATTATTAGCTCGGTTTGAAAATAAGCAAAATTGAAATATAGAGTTTACCTATTTCTTTCCATTTGATGGCTACAATTTCAAGAAAACTATGGAAACAAAACGTAGCACATGTATTATTAAATGGCGGAAATCGATCTCTAAATACTTCAAGCTGCATGTCAGTACTATATCAATCGTATAAGTTAAAAACCCGAAGACTCTTTTTGTCACCCAAATCGATGTTTGTATTCGAGGGGACGACGAGGAACGACAAAGGGAACGTTCCACCCATGCTCGAGTGAAACGATTTAGCGTTAGCTCGTAACAGTTCGCTGCTACGCTATTCGGCATTGGTTTTCATTTTGAAACTCTTTTCGTAGTTCCAAAACGCTCGGTTTCAATTGAATATTTACAATATGTTCGGAAATGCAGAATTGTCCGACTGAAGTTGTCGAACTCGTGTCGCTCTTGTGAACTCAATGAGTGTAATAAATATGCATGCAGCTTTAAATGATTCTGAATATATTCGCTGTTTGATTTTTTATATAACTGTTAAGTACCCATAACGCAAAACAGTTATTATTGTGTTTCATTCACCTTACATTTCTGGCAATTATATAATATATGATTTTTACGTGCACCTACCTATTCATTTGAAAACGTCCGAAATGTGGAATGTGCGTTACAGTGAATTCACGAATATACTTCAACCGCTTTTTTGCCTTTTCGTTGTGATTTTGTAGTTTTATCTGTGAATTATAACAAGATTTCCAAATCCTGACTAGAGAATGTGAAGTTTTCATTCGCTATGGCCGAATGTCACGAAAGTTCTATTAGTCCAAAAATTTTGTAATCTTGCGCTTTTTACAAACCTGGCGATATACCATTTAATCAGAAACATTGAATTATTTAATCCAATAAATCTAATCTATCCATGTTGGACAAAGCATTTCAGTATTATCGTATGATTTATTTTCCCACCACCGTTCGTTATACTAATTGACACAAAGCTTGAACTCAAGTTTATAACTTCGTTGTCATACTATCTAGTAGTATAACATTTTTTCTCGATAATGCCTTCAACCGTTGATCTTCGACTTCGTTTGAATAATACTTTCTTGCCAGGCAAAGAGTGGATTTGCAACGCGGTTGGAACGAAAAGTCACAGCCGCTTATATTATCTCTTTTATAAGGAATTTCAAATATTTGAAAAGATGGAATGAAATTCTCAAAAATACAGTTTATGTGCTTTTCCTTTTTTCGCTTTGTTATTTCAATTACAATTGCGGAACCGCTTCAATCTGTATTGACTAGATAGTCGTCGGTATACCGCTTTTTCCTGGCGGACAAGTAGATTTTCGTTAAATATCACTAGAATCAAAAATGTCAGGCTACTTTAGTTTTCCAACATCTTCATCATCTTCTACGGCATCTGAAATAACTTAAAATGCAGGGTCATTGTGGGATATAGCTACAGACTTTGCAGGGTGTATTTTTTTAGCCACACAATCAACCGCATCATCGATATCATTTGTATACTCATCCTAAATATCAGAATAGCTCTCAAAATTTGAAGTTTTTCTCTTCATTAATTTTACGCCGTTTAGTAACTTTTGAACAAATTTGATGAAGCGCAAAATATGTTAGGGCGACCTCTATTTTAAAGTTATTCATCGGTTCGAAGTCCTGTATTTATATTTACAACTTTGAACCAATTCAATACTTACGAATTTCTTAAAGCTAGAACTTCATGAAGTCATATTGATAAAATATTATGCACAGTTCTATGTTGCAGCTTTCTTTATCTTACTTTGATTTTTATTTTTATTTGTACTTTTCTATTTTTTTCTTTAATTTCTTTCGAATCACTTTACTAATTTCTAAAATTCCAATTCGTTTTACTGTTATGCGTGCAACAAAGTCTCCACTAGATCCGTTCTGTCCGCCTTCGAAATAGATTCCGAGAAGGGTTTGCCTTGATAAATATCCACCTCGGCGCTTTCACAACGACGAAAGTCAAAATCGTACAGGCCCAACTTGTAGTACTTATTCAAGGGTTTGTAAATATGTAAACCACGCCTACAGCGTACGACTACCCCAGTGTTGAAGACAATACGCGGCTTCTTTAATTGCTCATCGAATTGATAATTAAATGAAATATTGCCACTGTCCAACTCTTCACGCAAATCATGTAACACATCCATTTGCAGATTGCTGGATTTAGGGCTAGCGCGAGTAATTACACGCAAATACATCAAATTTGAACAATTCTTCACAAGCACTTCGACAAAGTTAATAAAATGTTCCAGATGGGAGCTTTGAGTGAGACATGGTTCGTAAATATGCACCACCGATACTTTTTCATTCAAATAGCAACCGATTAGCTTTTCATAGCTTCGACCGCGTGAACCCTCCGGGATGACGATATGTTCGGTTATCTTGCAGCTGAACATGTTCTGTTCAATTTGATCACGCAGACGCTGCACGTGCTTTTCGTAACTACTGAGGTATTTTCTGAAAGTAAAAATTGGAAATAAGAAAATATTTTTATTTAAAAGAACTATAAAAGACCATCTAGCTCTGATTGGGAGTCATGAGATATAAATTCTACGATATAAAGATAGTTATATTTTGTACGAAATTTTTTAAGACATAAAGGGGTAAAGATCGGGAACTGAGCTGACTAGTCGTTCGAAAAATCTCTAGCTTTCAATTGGATTTAACAGAGCAAACCGGAAAGTTTTTATATTGGACATATCAAGAAGAAAAGACTTGCTCTTCCTCCCGCCAACTCGCTAGATCAGAAGAGACTAAGATGGTTAAATCAGCAATAACGGGAAACAAATAGAATGATCGCAAATAAATATTAACCAATGTAAAGATTTACTAGGGCCATAATATTTATATATATGTATACCTGTAACTATCTAATATATCTTCGTTTTGTTCGTTGGCCGAACAGATTTTCAGTTTTACAAGGCTTTCTTCGTATAGCATTCGTGCCTCTAAAGTGTGACCGCTTAGTTCGCATTCCAGCGCACACATTATCAGCTCTTTAATGTCTTGCATCAGTATTTTGTGATCAGACTTCTTTGTTTTGTTGTCACTGCTTCTTTTCGTATCTCTTGATTCGCGCTCGCTTCTAACCACTCTCATATCCCTCAAACTTTTGACATTTCTCATTTCGCGTTCGCTTTTTGATTCATGCTCTCTTCGATGCGCTAATTCGTTGCGTGAATTGCGTTCACTTTTACTCTCACAATTATATTTCCTGTCGCGATCTGATTTCGTGTAACGCTCACTTCTGCTTTCGCGATCATGTTCTCTCCTACTTTCATGTTCGGTCTTTAAACCCCGTTCGCTTCTTTGCTCGCTCTTTTTTTCCTTCACATCCTTAATGACTTTCGACGATTTTGTCTCCTTATTTTTATCCATATCGTATTCAAATAAATTTTGATCACCAACCTCTGATTCTAAAAATTTATGTATATTTTTTTATTATTAATAAGTTTCTAATATTGTGTTCCACCATTATTTGCCAAAATTGTTTTGTTACATTTTCAAATAAAGCTTTGACAGTTCTTTTATTTATTAAAATAATTTCCTTTATATGTATGTCGGATTGAGACTTATAAAGGGTTCACATTATGTGCTTATTTAAGTGAATGTGAAATAATTTTTATTTTCGAAAATTGTGAACTGATTTATGATTGAAATATAGTAAAATATGTTGGACTTATGCTAGAAGCAGCTTACTTATAAAGGGTTCACATTATGTGCTTATTTAAGTGAATGTGAAATAATTTTTATTTTCGAAAATTGTGAACTGATTTATGATTGAAATATAGTAAAATATGTTGGACTTATGCTAGAAGCAGCTTCAGCTGTGGGAAAAAGATGTCCGGTAAGTTAAAACGATATTTTTAACTTTAACTTAGCCCACTAAAATTAAACATCTAGATATTTATAAACAAAAAAGTCTATATTACCTTTTAATAATTTTTGCAATTAGTGCTCAAAATGACTATTTTAGTTTGGTGAATTAATTGTTCGCCGAAATAGCGTCCATCGAAACTTCACAAAAAATGTAGGTACTATATTTACATCAAACATTTCTTCCAGCTTGGAACGGTTTGTGTTGTCATAAAATTGTCGCACAGTGGTATACGCAGATTTCTAACCGATTTTGCTTATGTTTTTTGGTTTTTATACCCTCGCAACGTGTTTCACAGAGTAGTTTTCACCTTACAGTTGTTTGTATCACCTAAAACTAATCGAGATAGTTATGGAGTTATATACGTATATACTTGTATAAATGATCAGGATGACAAGAGGAGTTGAGTTCCAAGTGACTGTATGTCTGTCCATCCGTCTGTCCGTACAAGCGATAACTTGAGTAAAAATTGAGATATCTTTATGAAACTTGGTACACATGTATATGTAGGTTGGTATTGTAGATGGGCGTAATCGGACAATTGCCACGCCCACAAAACGCCATTAATCAAACACAAATATGAATATCTTCTGATCTTGATGTGCATATCTTCTAAACCTATAATAACCAAATTCATTCAGCCCAACCCACAGTGTAAAAATGGGTGCAATCGGGTGATAACCCCGCCTACTCCCTATATAACGGTTAAACTGCTAAAAGTACGATAACTCAATAAATAAACATATCAGAGACTTTGAATGGTATAGGAGACAATACCAAAATTTATCGATGAGTGTTACCACCCATTTGGTTTCAACCAAATTTTATAAGTAACATTATCTGAATATGTGTATATTACAGTGTAAATAGGCGAAATCGGATTACAACCACACCTACTTCCCCTATAGCACAAATTAAAATTTCATATGACTCTAACATTCCAGTATTCAAATCAAGCACTAATAAATCTTTTAAAATAAAACCTTGCAATAAGAGTGCCTTTAAGATATGCCATCTTAAGAATAAAAGTTGTCAAAATCGGGCCACAACTGTTCAAGCCCCGTATATAGAAAATATAAATCCCAGTGTCCATGGTTGGCTTTTTACCGAAATTATCGCTCAATGTATGAGATATATAT